CACACACACACACACACACACAATAAATAAATGTAATAAAAATAAATAAATAATTTAAAAAAAAATTGCACAAGCTCTATATGAGGACACTATAAAACTTGGATGGATGACATCAATGAAGTAAACATTCCATGTTTATGAATAAGAAGATAATATTGTCAAGAGATGTTAGTTATTCCCAACTTGATCTGTAGATTCAATGTAATCCCAATCAAAATGTCAGCTTGTTTTAGGTATTGATGAGCTGTGTCTAAGAGTTCTACGGAGAGTCAAAAGTACCAAAATACCCCACAATATCTTCAAGGAGAGTAACGTCAGAGGCCTGGCCCTACCTGACTTCAAGACGTAGTAGAAAGCCACACCCCTGTTCGGTTTGCAAACCCATAATTCTACTGAAACAACAGCAACCTCAGGTGACAACTAACCAGCACTTGCCAGATCATTTCATTCACAGATGGCTTTCATTCCACTGCCACCTCCACACGTGGTTTTTGGTGTGGACAAGCTGTCTGTGGAGGAAGCCTGGTGCTGTAGTAACAGTGAAAGGGCATTAGGAAATGGCTTTCCTGGCCACGGGCTGACTATGCACTGAAACCTCTACAAACTGGGACCCAAAATAAACCCTTCCTCCTTCAGCAAATGTGTTCCCCTTATGAGGCTTTACTGCCGAAATCCTTACTGAGAGAGGTATCCGCTTCACTGGGCAAGTTGTAAAAGGCGTCACACACACAAGGGCATCCAACTGATTGGACTGCCTTGGTCAACAGTATTACTGATTGATGGCTATCGGTTCTCCTCCCACTGGAAACCATAACAGAACCTCTATGATATAGTTGCTGTAAGGCCTATGCTCCTAATATGAGCCCGGTGGAAATGCATGTTGGCATTAAAGCCTTGCACTACTGGCTCGGATCAGGAGTTCTGAGCAGGGGACACACGAGATTCTGTTCTAGGAACAGGCACGCTGAATGGTGGGTGGCAGGCTGGGCTGTTCCATGGCGTTCCCATCTTCATGTTCCGTTGGCTGGCTGTCTAAGTTATTACCGCTGCCATTCCCAGAAATGAAGCTTCTTTAAACCAGGTAACTTGACAGCGAGCCATGGTCCTTCGTGGCCATCGTGCCCAAAACAAAAACTGTGACCAGCTGGACTCTAATGCTGTCTTTATTGTCTGAACTTGCAGTTGTCTGCTTTGCTCTGTTGGGGTTCGGGGAGCTCCTGTGTACCCGCCTCAGCCGCTAACTCTGTATTGTGAATTCTATACTTCAATGTCCAAGAGTTTGGTCAATCTCTTAAAATATAGAGGCTGACCAAAGTGGGGAAAGTAATTAAATTTGGTCTAAAGCTGCTTCCTATCAAATAACGAGACTTAGCCAATCACAGGAGCTGAGCTTTCAGCCAATCACAGCCCATGTAGTGGTCAGACACGTCCAGGTAAGGCTACTATGCAGTGTTAAGATGGGCTCTGTCTGTATGTCTGTTCCTTTTCCTCTGTATAACCCGCCTCCTGCTTGCTGGCTGGAACTCTGAGCCTTTACTGTTTTCAGGGAGCTGCCAGATTTATGAATCATTTCTTTGCCCAAACATTGCTAAATTTAAGGTGTCTTTTTTTCTTTTCTTTTTTTTTTTTTTTTTTTTTTTTTTTTTTTTTTAGGGAAGAGTCTACAGGGTGTTCAAGGTCTCATTACTAGATCAGACTCGTAGTGATCCCCCTGTTTACAGCCTCCCAAGAGCTGGGATTACAGGCACACACCATGGTGCCCAGTCTCAATTGCCATCTCAGCACGCCCCGGAGGCAGGCCAAAGATTGAACCCCGGGCCCCTGCACCTGCAAGCAGGTGCTTAATCCACTGAGCTATTTGGCCAGCCCGCTAAATTTAAGTTTTTTAACAGTGGCAAACACTGCTCAGGCACCACAACTGACCTCAACAGATGCCACCCAAAACTCAGGTAACAGCCGGCAGCAAGCTCCCCTACACTCCCCATTCTTTCAGGCCTGAGTCAGGGACCCTCCCGCACCCCACACCCCAGTACCAGGCTGCTGCAGGCCTGCCTGCTCTGCCCCTTCCAGTCTTCCCTTATGCAGAGAGAGGAGGTTGGAAAGTAGATGGACCCCTGCTGCTCTGAACCACAAACCTGCCTGCTTGGCTTGGCGAGGGCCCTTCCGCAAACTGTTGCCCACGCGCCCCTCCAGCTCTCTTGCCACTTCCCCTGTGTGAATGCCAAGTTCAGGTGCTCAGTGGCTCCAGGGACACTGGCACAGTCTCCAACCATGGCAAACTCCTAGGCAACGTTCACATCTTCACACCCAGTGTGAGCGTCACCTCTGCAGTGCATCCTCCTGACCCCACTCCTTACACAGCAGGCCACTCTGTGCCCCCACTGCTTCTCCTGTAGGTTGTGGTGACACTCCCTGAGTTGCCCACAACAGTGAGGCCAGAATCCTTCTCAGCCACTCTGTTTGAAATGTTAAAGAAATGGTCACCTTGTGAGGCTTTTGGCTTAAGGACCATCCAAGAGCTAGCATCCAGCTGGTAGATATGCAGCCCTCAGAGCCAATTACCGCCAGCCCTACCCATTTGACTCTGAAGGGAGGCTCTGACCAGGTGGCCCCAGCTGAGGCCACAAGACTAGCAAAGTGGAGAGGGGGTGAGAATGTGGCTCTGTGGCTGAGAGCAGGAGGGACAAGCCCCACCCTGGGGACCAACCGCATCTCATGGTGGCCACGCCTCCCAGCCTGGACTTTGTCTGACTGGGACAGACAGGTGAGTGAGAAACAGAGGAGAAGCTGAGCCTGGCTCACTCAGTCAAGCTCACTGTTGCCATGCCCGTGCGGACCTGGGAGCTGCCCCTGCTCCTTCTGCTGGGGATGGGGCTAAAGGCTCAGGAAGCTCTGCCCCCACCCTGTGAGAGGTGAGTGTGTGGGGAAGCCTGGAGAGGGAGCAAGGCTCCTGAGGACCCGAGCTTCAGAGGGAAGGGAAGAAAAAAGGTCCTCCTGGGTAGCGCTCCGTGCCAGGCACTGTACTTCCTTCTTGGAACAGGATGGAAAAACTGAGGCCTACCCACTCCTGCCCTCCTAGCAACTCCTTCAGCTGAGCATGACTGGGCTCAGGATGGCAGCAAACCTGCTGCCCAGCATCCCTGGCCTGGCTGTGACAGGGCCTCAGAGCCTGGCTGTGGGCACCTGCCTTAAGGCCTGGCCCCACGCCCTCTCTGGGGTCCAGGGCAAGTCCCACCTCCTTCCTGAGCCACAGCTTCCCTCAGCCAACACAGAAATGAGGGCGCCCACCCTGCCCACCCCCAGGACACACCCTGCCCACTGCGCTGCACACAGGCTTACAGAGGTCTCAACACCCCATTGTGTCCCCAGCTCTTGCAAGTAGAGCAAAAGCAGCAGCTCGAGGGAGAGAAGCTCCATTCACAGCAGCACTGCTCCTCAGCCGGAGGGAGCAAAAGACACTGGAGAGATGAGAGGGGACGTGTGAGCAGAACTGTGCGGGGAACGGACATCCCTGGGCAGGCACAGTGAGAAGGTGCTGGAAAGAAAACTGCAAGGCAAAGGCCCCAGGGCGCCTTCCGGGCACTGGGAACAAGGCCCGAGCAGCTGGGACAGAGGCGGGAACAGGCCAGGGGGCAGAAGGGGCCCAAGGAAGAGGGGACCAGGGCTCGAGCTCCAGGGCACGACCTGGGGCGGTGCCGAGTGGTTCTGTAGCGGATGTTTTGAAGAGTGAGCTACCGAGACTTGCCGATGATTGACTGTGCACTCAGAAAGGACATGCTGCATGGGCGGGGCTGCGTGGTCAAGTGTTTGGGCACGAGTTAGATTGTTTGCCAAATGATCAGACTCAGCAGTTTGAGTGATGGCTTCTTTCCATGAAGACACCCATGAAAGCCACCAAAAGGAGCAGCAGAGTCCAGCAGAAAGTCAGCTCAGTCTCCCAAGGGATTGATCCGAGCATCCCTTCCTTTCCCCAGGCACAGTGTGTGACAGCACACCCAAGTGTTACCCACCAGGACACCCCCCAGTCTTGGTGTCAAGCCATTCTCAAGGGTCACTCACAGAGCGTGGAGTACCTGATTAGGTGACCTTTGCTACTTGGTCTCCAGATCTCCAAAGGTCAAACTGATACTGGGTGGCCAAAGGCCCCCCTCAATAAATCATATTATTAGCATAAACTATCTGCCCTGGGCAAAGGTCCCAGGAAAACAAAAACATGCAGGGCGTGAACCCAGTAAGCTACACCAGCCACTTGCTGCGTGATGAAGAATTTGGGTGGTCTCTGTCCTGGGTTCCTGGGAGGTGACCTCCCTGTCCTTGACACTCTAAGGGCCAAGAGAGTCTTTGTTGTTCATGGTAGGCCCTGGTAGTTTCTGCCAATGAGATGACAGTGTGGATCCCATGGTGGCTTCTGCTTAGGCTGTGACTCAAGATGAGGTGGGCTATGTTGGAAATACGGACAGTGTGTTTAAAGGTTGGGGCTTTGAACCACAGTATCAGCCCAACCTCTTGATCTTCAGGAAGGGGAGGGTGGCTAGAGATTGAGTTCATTCATGCAACCAATGACTCAGTCAGTAAGAACTATGTACTGGAACCCAATAAAAACTCTGCACTATGCCAGGTGTGAAGGTGCACACCTATAATCCCAGCTACTCAGGGGACACTGAGGCAGGAGGAAGTTCAAGGCCAGCTTGGATAACTTGGCAAGACCCTGTGTCAAAACTTAACAAAATAAGTGCTGGAGGGGTTGCTAAGAGATAAAGCACTTGCCTAATTGCGGAAAGTCCCAGATTCAAACCCCAGTACCACAAACATAAAACAAAGCAAATGAACAACAATAACAGAAAAGCCACTGGGCTCCAAAGACAGATGGAGCTTCCCAGATGAGAACACAGGTGATCCAGGAGGGTGGAGCATGGTGACACTCCAGGAGGGGCCCAGGCCCCCCACCTCACCCTATGCATGTTGTTTGGCTGGTCCTGATTTCTAGCCTTCTCATACAACTGTAGTCATAGGCACAGTGCTTTCCTGAGTTGTATGAGCTGTTCTGGCAAGTCAGCTAGAGGGTTCTGAGGGCTTCATGGGAACCTCCATGTTAATAGCCAGCTGGTCAGACATGTGGCTGACCCAGGGACCCCTGAACTTGTAGCTGGCAGTTTCTTGGGGAACTGTGCTCTCAACCTGTGTGGGTGTCTGCACTAACTCCAGATGGGTGACCCAGAATCAAATTGCAGGTGATGTCAGAAAAATATATGAGCCGGGCATAATGACACAAATCTGTAATCTCAAGAGGAGGCTGAGGCAGGAGGATTGTGAGTTCCAGACTAGCCTAGGCTACAAAGTGAGCTCAAGGCCAGGCTGAACTGCATAGTGAAACCCGGTCTCAAAAAGACCAAAAAAAAAGGGCCAGGGAGATAGCTCAGTAGAATAAGCACTTGCCTGGCAAACACAAGGTCTTGAGTTCAATCCCTGGTACCGCAACAACAACAATAACCAAAAAAAAAGAAAGAAAGAAAAGAAAAAATGTACAATTTTTGAGAATGATGCAGATTTTTTGAAGCATGTCGTCGCGGAGCAGGGATAAAGTCTTAGGGTAAGGACATTTTATTTCCAGGGTGGTTACAGATTCCTGTGATACTGAAGATCAGTTGCTCAGCGTCCAGATAACTGGAAATCGAAGTTCCTTCTTAATGGGATTTAGAGATGGTGGGCCCAGTTCCTGGGAAGGTGACGCACTTATGCATAAGGCAATACAGACTACTATGGACACAATGTCTATAACATTATCATATAGAACAGCTAAACTATAAAGAAGAGATAGGCCGCGCTTAAACTCTGGAGAATCTGCAGGCTCCTACTCCCAACACAGGAGCCCAGACTTGTGGTACCAGAGCTGACAGCACAGCCTGCATGGCTGCTGTAGCCCTAGCGGATGCTACAATTAAATTTAGGGAAGTAAAACTGCAAGGATTGATTGAGTCAAAATGAAAGTTCAGATAAAGGGAGCGTTTAAAAAAGCTCTTTATGCAGCGTCGCTTCTCTCTCCTTAAATGTCTCACGGAAATGGAACCGGCTGCTTGGGGAATGGTCTCCCTGCAGAGCGGGCACCAGGAAAGAAAAGCCTACTGGTGTTGCTCCAATGGAGGCCACAGGCGGAATTCAGGATGATGGGGGCTTAGGTGAAAGTCTGCATGAAAATGGATGCCTTTGAACAGGTTTTATTTATTTTATTTTATTTTTTATTTATTTTTTATTTTTGGTGGAACCGGGGACTGAACTCAGGCCCTTGTACTTTCCAGGGAAGCATTTATTCTACTAAGCCATCTCCCCGACCCCCTATTTATTTTATTTTTTAAAAAATCTTTTTTTTATTTATTTAGTACAGGGTATCGCTGTGTACCTAGACTCCAGGTGGTCCTCCTGTCTCAGCCTCCCCAGTGGTGGGATTATAAGTGTGCACCACCATGCCCAGTTTTGGTGGCCAGCTCAGCAGGCCTGGGAGCAGGGCCGGTGTGGCACGTGGTGCTGGGGATCGAACCCAGGTCCTTGTGCTTGCCAGGCAGGCACTTAGACCTTTGAGGTACCTCCCTAACCCTGAACAGGTTTTACTGATGTCCTGGTGGTGAGGATCCAACCCAAGCTGTTGTGTTGAATGCGAGCCCTGTCACTGTGCTATGCTCCCAGCCCGTTTGGACCGATTTTATATGAAGTGGTTGTGTCCCTTTGACTTGCTTGTGCTACAGGAATCAATTCTGCCTCTGACCCAACAACATTTCCCCCATGAAGGGCTATAAAGCAGAGGCATGTGACACCTCTCATGGCCTTCAGAGAGTGACCACTGGACCTTCCAAAGGGGGACTTCTGAGATGCCTGGGACAGAGAGTGGGCATGGAGCACCTTGCAGCATGACTACCCAGACTGGGGAGTAGAGAATGTCCAGAAGAGGGGTAGTGACTAGCTCACTGTCACACATTATTAGAAATTACCCCTAAGACTGAAGCACACGAGGGAATCTTGAAGCCTGAAATCCCTAGAACGCCTTGGGTGATAACAGGAATGTTCTCAGAGTTAAGGCAGAGGCTGTGACAAAACACACACGGGTGATATAGGAACATGCAGTTGAGGACACAGAGGCACTGAGTCCAGGAGTAGGCGGCCTCTTTTCCCCCAGGACTGGCTTTGGAACCTGGGAGGAGCTGCTTGCTTCCATTGCCACCTGGATGGCGGCCTAGAGCAGCCCAGGCGGAGCCCCAGGGCTGTCGGCATGTGGCTGCAGCTCTGAGCCGAGCAGCGCGCTGTTTGGAGCCTGCTTCTCCCATCAGGAAAAGATGAGACTCAGTGTGGTTTAATCCACCGGGCACGTTGTTTGCCACTGTGTACCGAAGATTGCGAACAATGGTATATACATTTAGTGCCTTGGGCGCATAATAGGTTACACGAGTCCCTGCACACTGAGCTGTAACTTAGCTTGCATATGCCTGAAGGTGTCCCACAGCCTTCTTTGTACAGGGACAGAGCTTCCCGCTGCCCCCTGGGGAGCTTGGGCAACTGGATGGTGCCTGCAGCTTTAATCCCATTAGACGCCACCCTTCTCTGCTGTGTGACTAGCTGTCTGTTGGCATTTGCCCATGTGGCACACAGTGGCATGGGTCGTGCTGCTGCTGCTCCACGTCTTGAATTATACCCAGGAACTTTCGAAGCATTTGTCAAGGTTTATAGTTACATGGTGATTAATCTGACACACAGTCCAAGGCCCAGGCAGGGAGTAGCTTTTGGAAATTCTTTTCCAAATGCTCTGCCCACCTTTCTAGTAGACAGAACCTGAATCAAAAGACTGGCACCTTCTCGCAGTTTCACTCAGCAGCTTGTCCAGCTTATACCTTAGTGTATGACCAGTGCGTCCGGGTTGTGCTGCTTGGTTTGTGGGCAGCCGTTGGAACACATCAGAATCTGAAAGGAGGGGTGCTGTTGGGCAGTGCCGGGCTCTCCCCTTGCAAGCTGGTGTAATTGTGCTAAGGGACAACGCCATTCTCTTGTTCCCTGTCTCTCCAGGCAGCAGGGAAGTGTGGGATTTTCCTTGTTGTACAACCCATGTGTTTATTTCTTTACCCTCAGCTACTATTCCTCCTCTCTCCACTTGACACTGATTTTTACTAAGCTTTTCTACTTGTGCGAGGGACATTAGGTTCACCTGCTGTGCTGGTCCAGATTTCTGGTAACAATGAGAGTCTAGTAAATGCTCCATCGCAGCCCTTCATATGGGGTAGGGATGCAAAGGAGCAGAATTAGGGGGCCATCTCAGGCTCCGGGCAGTGTAGCCGTTTCTCCGATGGGCCCACCATAGCTAGATGGGACAAACCCACCCCATGTACCCTTCTGAATTCTTGCATAAAGGTTTCAGGGTACAGCTGGAATTCCTTGTTTGGGAACTATACCTGCTTCTGATACACAAAAGATTCTGATCCTGGGATCACTGTGTCAGGTAGGAAAAAAAATATCTGACTGATATGGGGGAGATCACACAGTTATACCAACAACACTGCCCCCTTCCCCCCAGGTCCGCCCAAATGACAGAGGAATCCGTGCAGGGGGACCCATTCTTGTCCCACTGGGTCGAGCGTGATCACACTCTTGAGAGGGTGTGTAAGCCAGTCTTTCACACCTTCGTCTCCTTCATTTCAGACAAGCAGTGGTTGAACTGGTTAAGCCAACTCTCTGAAGAGTCCTCACAGCATGACATGGCCATTAGATGTGATGTCCTTTGACTCATTCTTCCTTTTTAAAAAAACTTGGCACAGGGGCTGGAGAGATGGCTCAGTGGTCTAAAGCACCTACTTGAAACAAGCTTGGCAAAGCATAGGGACCTTGGTTCGATCCTCCAGCACCACATGCCAGCCAGCCCCGCCCCCTGGTGGGCTGAGCTGGCCACACACACACACACAATAAATAAATGTAATAAATAAAAATAAATATTAAAAAAAAATTTGGCACAGGGTCTCGCTACGCATTTCGGACTCGTAGCGATCCTCCTGTCTCAGTTTCCCCAGCACTGGAATTACAGGCGTGCGCCACCACGCCTGATTGCAGTGGCTAGTTTGGTGTGGGGCCGGCACAGCATGTGGTACCAGAGATCAAACCCGAGTCCTTGAGCTTGCCAAGCAGGTGCTTAGACCACTAAGCTATCTCCCTGCCTGCCCCCCCCTTTTTTTTTTGAGCCAGAATCGTACTATATAGTTCAGGCTGGCTTTGAACTCACTATGTAGTCGAGGCTGGCCTTGAACCTGCAGCATCCACCTGCTTCAGCTTCAAGAGAGCTGGGTTTACAGGTGTGCACCACCACACCCAGCTGTGCTGTTCTTGAGCTGAGGGAAAGAGGCCCTGCCGTCCACATTGGTACAATATCATTTCTGCCAAGATAGCATTTTACAGAATTTACATCTACCTCCAGCTATGTGCAGCTACTTTAATGCCCAGGGATTATGCCCCCCACAGGTGACCTTTAATAAGTTTTTTACTGCCATCTGCCAGGCCATTGACCATTGCCTATGAGTCAGTGAAAGGTCAACTATACAGGCTTTTATCGCTCACTTCTGCCATCCCTGCAAGAACAACACACAGTTCCATCCCTTAGGCTGCTTTTTCCGACCTTCTTCAACGAATCTCCACCAGTGGGGATGACCTTTCAAATAACATATCTCATCTACCGCAAACCCAACAGCTTTTCATCAGTCAACGAAGAGCTGTTCACAGAGTACCCTAGTGGCCACAGGACTTATCAGCCCTTGTGGCTTCCCGAGCTGGCCTTGGGGGAAATGTGCTGCTTGCTGCAGACTCAAAGGGCACCTCTTTGTGCCACACGCAGTGGTTCTCTCAGAACCACTGCCCCGGCACTGCCTTCTTTATCAGAGTGGGGCCTGAACATTGCCAAACATCACAGGCATTGCGGGTGTCAGGATTATTTTGTGTCCCTTAGTCTAGAGCCAATGCTCTAGTAATTCTCCAGTAATTCTCTCTCAGAGAGTATCTCTCTTTTTTTTTTTTAATTATTTATTTATTTATTTATTTTGTGTGTGTGTGTGTGTGTGTGTGGCCAGCTCA